TGGCCATGCCGGGCACTGTCCCAGGGAATAAGGAGATTTGGAAATATTTTTCTCACTCTGATGTGTGTATATGTGTGTGTTCATATATATATGTTCAAATCTGAATCCTGCATGAAATTCACAACAGTCAAATACTTTTAAAATTACATATATATATATATGAGAGTGGTAAAGCAATGTTCTCCATACACTGAAGCTCACAATCACACTATCTCATTTACCTTTTGTTTTTCAGACATAAATATTCTATCATGCATTTCTTATCATATTTAATCAATTTGAGCTCAATATTTTTCCTCAAATACAAAGCTACAGTGTCATCTTCTATAAGTTCATATTTACATAAACTGTATGTACTTACCACTTCTTGCTGCCCATCATTCTTCATGCGAAAGATCTTCTTCAGGATCATATCTGACCAGTAAATGTAGCCAGATGCTACATCAGAAGCAGTTGCTACAGCATATTCAATCTCAATGGGTAGCTGTTCAATATTGCTGGTATTGAGATTTGCCATCAGAATTGACCAACGATTAGAAATGACCAGAAATGCATCAGTCCAATCTAGAAAATGCAAGTAAGCATTACTAAGACGAATTTAACTACTAAGCGGTTATTTTATAATTTCAAAATTAAAATCATAAAAAAATTCATCAGCTTTATGCGTTATTAGAAATCTTGCACAAAATTTACCATTCATTTCGTACAAGTCTATTAATTTGCAAATTTTTGTATGGGGAAACAAAAATAATTAGTTCAAGTAACCATAAAAACATTTATTTGTAAGCCATACCAAAAAATTAAATCTCTCACAATGAGTGAGACTAATAGGAAAGTTTACTGGCTAATTATTATACAATTCTACACATCTTGTTATAAAACCAATTAAACAACTGATTTTAGTTTTAAATATCTAAATATATCAAATCATTAACATTAACAATTTCAACCTTTAGAAATGTTATATTTTATTGGGGAGCCTAATAAATACAGTCACAAATTAAACCTTTCTTTAAAACAATGGCTATTGTTCTGAGATGTTATGAACTGCTATCCATTAGTTTTGCTTCAGATTCATTTGAAAAACAATAAGGACTTAAAGAGTGATGCAGATAACAATAATACTTACTCACTGCTTTACAGGTGAGGTGATCAGTAGCAAGCTTGTACCCACCCTGGCAGGTACATTTAAAAGATCCTTTTGTGTTGACGCAATCTTGGCTACAGTGGCCCGGGGACACACATTCATTTTGGTCTACATGAAAAATTACTTTGATAAAACGATAAAAATAGAGTAATCTGTTGAAAATAGAAATGATCATATTTTGTATTGATCTCTTTCCATCTAGAGCTATGTATATATAGTTTCTCCTGTAGGATTTGAAGTTTTAGAAAACAAGAATATTTGAAAAACAATCAAATGACACCAAAGACCTTCTGAAGGCAAGTGTTTTTTTATTATTTTTCTGGCCTGGCTTGGTGGTTAGGGTGCTCAACTTCCAATTTCAGGGTCATGGGTTCCTATTTCCCGTCACCAAACATCCTTACCCTATCAGCTGGGACAGTCAAGTAGCAGTAGTATTGTTCAACTCCTGTTATTTATATTCAATCTGTTGTATATACTTTACAAGTAGCAGTAGTATTGTTCAACTCCTGTTATTTATATTCAATCTGTTGTATATACTTTACAAGTAGCAGTAGTATTGTTCAACTCTAAGTACTTATGTACATACATAGTATTTATACTCAATCTGTTGTATATACTTTACAAGTAGCAGTAGTATTGTTCAACTCTTAGTACTTATGTACATAGTACATAAATACCAGGAGTTGAACAATACTACTGCTACTTGTAAAGTATATACAACAGATTGAATATAAATACTATTATACATAGTATTCATATTCAATCTGTTGTATATACTTTACAAGTAGTTGTATCATTTAATTCTTGGTACTTGTGTACATAAGCATTACTTCCATTCAGTCTGTTGTACTTACCAACACAAGTAGTGGTGTCATTCAACACCTCGCCCTGTGGACATAGGCATATTGGCCCAAGAGGAGTCTGAGTACAGTTATAGCTACAGCCATTATTATCTTTCTCACACTGGTCAAAACCTGAAGAAGATGGAGATTTACAGGTTTTAAACGTAATAAACAAGTATAACAATCTACACAACACAGATATGATAAATAAAGGAACAGTTAACACAAAGCAATTACACATGTTTATATAAAAACTTGACAACATTTATAGACACAAATAATACAAAATGCTGTATCTCTTTATCAAAACATAAAAACTCTACACAGCATTAAATAAAAAAATATTAAAATCCTAATTACTACAGTGTTTGTCCTCTTGAGATGACCACATCTATAAACAAATAATTCTACTCACTGTTTTCTCTCTCTTAAAACCTAGAACCAAACAAAAACTCAGAATAAACAGGTTATAAAACAATCCCAAAGAATTTAAAACTAAACTTACTGCAAGTGGGACCTTCATCGGCATCGTTCGGACAATCAGTTATACCATCACACACTTGAGAGACGCTGATACACCTCTCGGTGAGGTTTGGACATTTCCACTGATTGGATGGGCATGTAAAAGGTGCAGGACCTACATATTCCATAGCAGTAAAGTTAACAAGGATAATTCACAGCTAGTACAATAAACTTAGAAAAGTTATAAATAAAAATCCTGTAACAATTTTCAAGTACATGCCATAGATCAGTGTTTCTCAACCCTTTTGATAATACTAGAAACAAGTCCACTGCCTCCCTAAACTATTGTGGACCACTAAAATGCAAGTACAATGAATAACCATTGTGATTTACATACAAATATTCTGTCAGTTTTTGCAAAATCCCATGTGATAGACCAGTGGTTGTGAAACACTGACCTATATGGATTAACACCCACTAAAAGACGTTTCTTTAGGATATCATTTTTAAGAAATTTACTGCTAGAAACTCTACTGTCCTGTATAGATTAATACAATGATTTATTTCAATTAATTTAAATCTCTGCCAAATGTGAAACTACAATATAAATTTCTACATTAATACTGTTATTGTAATGAACAATGAAACATAACTAATATGAGTTGGGGAAACAAAGTTTAGAAAGAACACACATAGTACATAACAATAAAAATCACACAAGCTAAATGTGTTTAATAACTACTTTAATCTTCTATTAATATTTGTCAAACAAAACAATAATCACTACAGTTATAGGAAGTAGTTAAAAATAAATAAAATCCCACTATCTACAGTATCTTATAGCTGTAACCTGAAACCTTTCTTTACTCACCACACGCATGTCTGTGATCCTCATCAGACCCATCACCACAGTCATCGGTCCCATCACAGATCCAGGACTTTACAATACAGCGTGTGTTGTTGCATCGGAAGCTGTTCAGAGGACAGACAACCTCTCCTGGTTTGCAGTAAAAAATAAGTAAAATATTTAGAGGCAACAAGTCATATGGTGCACTACATCAATAAGAAAAGGAATTCTAACTAAGAAATAAGGCTAATAATAATCTCTAAGGTTTTCCTTAAGGCAGCAGTTAGTTCATTGTTTACTTCTAACAGAAAGTTTGTTTCAGTAGGACTAGCTCAGTATTAAAGTTTTGCACACTTATATTTGCCTTTATCACCTCTACAATTCAAATTTAAATTAGTTAAAACACCTATTTTGATCGAGTCAATCCTAATAAAACAAACGTTTCTACTAAAAGTTAACAATGAAAGACTCATACTAATTTTTAGCAGTACGGGTTTTCAGTCAGAAACTGTATGAAAAGGATTTGTTTAAAAGTCATTAATCAGTTCTTTGTTATTTTTTAGCACAACTGTAACAAAATGTAGTTACATTTATCATCATTATCATAATCTTACTTAGAGAACTGAAATAATGACAAAATTGGCACATAAAATATAATTTGAAACAACATATCTAAATATTTTTAATAGTTGTGATAAACATTTTTAATATGGTTAGATGTATTCATTTTGTTGCTTTTTATACTGTTAAATGTATTCAATTCATCGTTTTTTATAGAGTTACATTTATTCAATTTACTCTTTACTATAGAATTAGAATTATTCAACTTATTGTTATATTTTTACAAACTCTTATTTCTGATAATACTGATGTTTAGGATTTTTAACAACTTAAGTTTTTAATTGAAGTCCATTTCATTACAATTCTTTGAACATAAGAAATTTTGTAGCAGGGATTATCCTGTGACATTCTTCTACCATTTTGGAGAAAAGCTTCTGTTAAGAAATTCCAGGGTTCATACATATTTTACTGTATATGTCAATTGTGTAACACCATATTTTAATTTTTATTTATATTTCAAGTTCATTCTACTTTAATTTTCATCACTTTCAACCTGAGAAATAAGTAAGGTGATGGTGCAACATAAAATGAATAGCACTTATAATGGTTGGAGACGGCTTGAATGGGTAATGAAGAAAAACTTTATTATAAGTTTAACATAACAGCAAATGTACACCGTTTCGTACCTGATGCTGACAAAACCTT